CCCAAATAGAGCTGGATAAAAAATCAATCAATTTCAATTTCTGTTGAAAATATTTCAGACACTTCATATGCAGAGACATAAGCAAAGATGAGTAACATAGTGATCAGTATTTACTGAAATGTGACTTAACTAATAGCATATAAATAAAATTATCATGCATCATTTTCCAAAACCTGTGACAGCTAAACTTAAGTATTTTGATAAAGAAGTTACCCCTTTTACAACAAATTAAACCTAGCAAGATCATTTCCTGTAAGTAGGTATACCTCATGAAAACACTTTTCAAGTGTATGTGAGTTTTTAAGTGCAGGACCATTGTAGTAACATAGAAACATTACCATTAGATTCATTGTTTATTTTTATCGCTTTAAAATCATAATTGAAATTTTTCTCTCACTTGAAGAAAAGATTTTAAAAGTTGATCATTACTGTTGCAAGTTATAAGTGATAATACTTACAATAGGGGTCCTTACATGTTGAAACCTGTGGTTTTTTCACAGGCTACAGGAACACAATCAGGGAAAGGACCTCAACAACAGCCCAAGAAAAGCTGAGTTTTCTATGATCACAGAAAATTCCTGACAAAGAAGGCATAGGTAGGCTCCCATTGTAAGCTCTACTAACATATTTATGCAAAAATACAGTGTAAGAGATGTCTCATTTAACAAGACTAAGAAATCAGGACTACATTGGCCTGATTCCCCAGCTTCTATGGCAAAGTTGAAGTCACTTGCTAAAGGAAACTATCAATCAATAAAACATACTAACAATATAAAAGGAAAGAATCATTTTTGAGAAATGGGAACTCTTATATGCAGAGTGTTTATTCTCTCTTACTCTTTAAATGTGAAGACCAAACAACCTCTGAAGTTGTGAGAGAGCAGAAATAGCTTTTTGTGTTTCCTGAATTCTTATGTCCCAATTCCTTTCCAACAGTGAAGATAAAAAGATATTTTGTAACTAAACATTAAAAAAGAATATGTCAAATTAGCATAAATGTGTACCACATAATATGAAATCTGAGAAGTCAAGTCAAACATGGACTTGTATATCTTAGATAAATTTTGAAGCATGATATATATTTGAAAAGTACAAAAATCTTAATCAATGAATTACACAAAGTGAGTATACATGTGTAACCACTTCAGAAGCTTACCTGTTACCATTCAAGTCACTAAGAAATTCTTCCTGATCAAAGGCAAGCCCCACCATATTTTCTAGGAACACAGATTAGTTTTTCCTAGTGCTATTTATGTATTAGTTTTTCCTAGTGCTATTTATATATAGAATCATGTCTTCTTTTATGTCAGGATTACTTATTTTAGTCAAGATTTGCTCTTTCTAATTGTACATCCAATTGTCCCAGAAGAGTTTGGAGAAAAAAAACTGTTCTATGGGACCAAATTTGTCATAGATCAAGTGTCCATAAATGAAAAGTCAGCTGTGTAATTCCTATTTGCTGCATTTTCCTATTTCCCTATTAATTCTTACAGGAAATTCTTCAGAAGTTATGAGCTCTATAGTGAAGTTTGCCAACATTGGTTTTTGTTGTTGTTATTGTTGTTGTTGTTTCTTGCACTTTTGTTTTTAAGTCAGGGTCATGTAGCCCAGGCTGGCCTCAAATCCAAAATCCTCTTGCCTCTGCCTCCTGAGTACTGGGATTACAGGCATGAACCACCATCCCCAGCTCTCATTTTTGTTTTGTTTTTTATTTGTTGGTCTGCATAATTTGTTTGTTTTGAAGCAAGAGAGTTTCAGTTACAGATTCTATTTTGTTAACATATATTATTCCAATTTTCTATATGCTCAACTGTCAATTTTTGAAAGCTTCACTTTTGTAGAAATGTGTCATGATTCATCTAGCTTTTCAAATTTACTATCTTACAACTGTTCCTAATATGTTTTAACTTTCAATGGCTGATGTCCCTTTTCATTGTTGACAACTTACTTATGAATAATCTTTGTCTCTAAGTCCTGGTGGGGACTTATGTATTTTATTACTCTTTCAACCATCATGACTATATGAATCACATATATCATATATTTGTGGTCTTATCTCATATTCACTTCCTCCATATTTTCTTTATCCTTTCTTTGGGATTACTCTGCTATTCTTTTCAAAACTTCATGAGAGTATGCTAAACTACTGATTTTCAGGTTTTTAAATATTTTCTAACAAATACATTTAAAGCTTTAAATATCTCTCTTACCTACATTCTACATTTTAATGTGCCATTATTCAGTATAAAATGTCTTCTAATTCTCAGTACAATTTCCTTAACCACTAATTTTGAAGGAATTCCTAGATCAGGGTTTTCTGATACTTTTCTGTAATCACTAAAAAAGTTACTTTTGTGTTCATTTTACTACACCTGATCTCAGCCGAAAGTAATTGTGTTCATTTTACTGTGATCAAATACTTTGCAGGTTTTGGTGAGATTTGCACTAAAATCCAGTATGTGGAAACTTTTGGAAAAGTTCCATATACACTTGGAAACAATGCATATGCTGTAAATATAAGGTTCTATGCTCTCAAATACCAAATAGGGCAAAATTGTTCATCATGTTGTTCAAATCACTTACAAACTTGATGTTTTTTGGTCTCCTGGTACTAACTATCAATTAGAAATAGAATTGAATTTGAACTATCCTGCTATGATTTATCTTGTCTTGTTCTGTGATTTTTTTAACTTTATTAATTTTAGCACTGTGTCATAAGGTATGTGTAAATCTAGAACCATTATATCTTTGAGGTCGATGCTTGATTTAAATCCTCATTTGTCTGATATTAGTACACATATAGCAACTTTTTTGGTGAAGTGATTGCATGATGTATCTTCCTTCTATCCATTTACCTTCAACTTTTCTAAATATCTTCATTTAAGTTATATTTTTTCTAAACAGCAGATTTTATTTTTATGTCTAGTCCAGAAACTCTTGGCTATTAACTGAAGTAATTATTCTCTTACATTTAGTAAAAATGGAATATTTATTTCCTTACACTGAGTGTAACTGTTGATTTGGAGTAAAATATACCATTCTTACTATTTCCTAATTTACACTTGTTTTTGTTCCTTTTCCAAGCCTTTCTTGCCTTTCTCCAAATCCATTAAATACCATTTACTATTCTCATTTTCCCATCTATCAGCTTGTTAGATAGGTGGCATTTCACTATTACTTTAGTTGTTACCTAATGATTACAAAACAAATCCTTTCTTATTAATGTGCAATTTAATGATTTTATCAATTACCACATAATACACAGACTTCAGCATTTTTACTAAACACTCATATACCTGTTTCTGACTCACATGCCATTATTTTCATGCATTTAGATTATGTGTATATTCAAGCCTTTATTACTATTATACTCTTATATGGTAATCATTTAGATTTACCCTCTTGTTTCTATACATTCTATTCAGTGTCTGGAATTATCTTCCTTGTATTTCAGTAGCATTCATTTTGTTATTTCCCTTACTGCAAATCTGCTATTGTCAAATTCTGTCAGTTATTGTTTTTCTGAAAATGTCTTTATCTTCCTTACCTTTTTAATTAAGGACACTTCACTAGGTATAAAATTTTAGGCTGACTGTTTTCTTCTCAGCCACTTGAAAATATGGTGTCTTCTGGATAACAATTATTCAGTTAAGAAATCAGTTACCAGTTTTAGTGGTGTCCTAACTGAGGGGTAATATGACTTTTTCCTCTATCTGCTTTTAATTTTTTCTCTTCATGCTTCCTCTTCAAGTTTTACTATAATGTCTTTAAGTGAGGGGTATTTATCTCCCTTGGTGCTCACAGAACTTCTTCAATCTGTGGCTTAACATCTTTTGTCACTTTTGAAAAATTATCATTCATTTCCCAAAAGGAAAACTTTTATAATCCATCTCCATGCAAGGAATATACAAATTGAGCTATATGTTTGAAACTGAAGGGGGTAGAACAGATTACAATTTAGTAGAAAAATGTTTCTCTTTTAAACACATAAAATAAATTCATGCTAGAAGTGTACAAGAATGTACACAGTCTTCACAAAAACAGTCATTTCCCAGATTTTATAAAAGGAAATGAGTACAAAAGATTCTATTTTAAAACTTATATATCCATAAAAATCAGTAACATTTTGACTATAAAGACAATGTTAGAGATATAAATAGGCAACTCGCCTAAACAAAAACAATGATAAATGAGCACATAAAAAGATGCTAATTCGTAATACTATCTGGAAAACTTTACAGCAAAATATCAGTAAGATACCATTCACACCTATCACTTTGTTAAAAGTAAAAATACTCTGAGCTATTAAGTATTGGTGAGAATGTAGAGAAACAAGAACACTCTACCCTGCTGTTGAAAGTATACAATACCACATTGACCCAAAAAGGAATGCAGCAACTTGAAATAAAACTGAGGACATTTATACCCTCAGATATAACAATCTTACTTTTCAGTACACAACCTTAGATGTTTGCATGAGAAGACTAGTATGAGATGCATAGTGTAATAGTGTTTATTCCAACAAAAAGGGAAAACAGACCTAAATGCCACAAGATTTGTATTTCCTATGAAGTTACATGATGAAACTGAAAAAAATGCTTTTATACATTTACAAATCTTACTAAAATACAAATGTAATTAAGAACAAATTCCAGGACAGATGATATCAAAGCTTACAGCTGAACTGGTAAGCAAAATTGCTTATCTAAAACAAATACAATACCAGCACTTATCAGTATAAGTAATACATATAGAATAAATATTTCTGTAGGATCACAAACCATTTTAAAGTGAATCACTTATACTAACAACGGCTATTCAGAAAATATATTATTTTGTAACACTGTTAAATGATAGCATATCATTAGTTGCAATAAAGATTTTTTTAAATGTAAGAATTTTTTCTGTAAAAATATTTATTAAATTCCACTACTATACAAATTATAAAATACAACGAATGTTAGATTTTTCTCATCATACTTTTTACACAATCTACTCACCAAGTCTTAGTGTTAACTTCATACTTATAAAGATCATCCACCAATCCATATTTATTGCCTGGTAATGCTTTATAGCCTCCATGAATATAAATGGACTTTGTTGTTTCATCATACACACTCGTATGACCATATCCACCCTGTACAATAGCTCCTTTTGTTTCTGGAACAAGCCAAGTGTTTGATGCTATAACAGAAAGAAAGAAATCATAAGCTTCAAGTAATATTTAAAACTGTAAGTAATATATCACCAAAAGTACCAGCTAGTCCTAATGACACATTTTTATGAGTAACTAAAGTATTCATAGTACTCCTAATATTCAATTAATCAGAATATGCTTGTTAAAAATATGCCAGGTGCTATGTAAAGTGTGAAGTTGAAATTGAGCAACATTGGTCTTCCAGAAATGAAATTAAAATCTGAAATACTGAAAACCCAACTTTTTCCGTGTGCAAGAGAAAAAGGAAAGTTTATTCTTACATATATTTCTATATTCAACAATAACCTACATAAGATATTTAAGAAATATTTTATGAGAGCCTACTATGTGACAGACTTTGAGTTAGTCACTGACACTACAAAAGTAAAAATGATGTAACTGTTATCCTTGACAAACTAAAATTAATTGAACAAATTTTTAACACTGTGTTGGTCCTAAAAACTAGATTTCCAAGACTCTTGACAACCACATCACTGTGAAAAAAGGTATTCTTTGATAGGCATAAAAAATAGGACAATCAAAAACTAGTTGTTAAAGCATATTATACTTTAAAATACTTTAACATTCTTTAGCCACTTGTGAAAACAATATGTACACACAAACTAAACACTTTTCATATTTTTAATCATCCTCTTTTTGATAAAAATAAATTTGTTTCTTATAAGAAATATTGAGTCATAAGGTTTAAATGTAAAAGAGAAAGTTACCTCATCTCAGCCCACTATCTAGAGATAAGTTTCACAATGGGATATGTTCAGAATTCTGAATATTTTAGTATACATACATGACCTACATGTACATACTTACATATATAAACATACATATTTGCAGGGGTTTTTTTTACTTAAAACATGTGGGCATCCTTCCACATCCCATTTATTATTTGTTTAGCAGTTAGATTCCATTATATTGACAATATGTAGCATATTAAATAACTATTTGGCTTCTCGATTTGGTTTAAAAATAATGATGTAATAAGCAACACTGATATAATAAGCAGTCATCACCAGTTTCATTATTCAATACTGCATATACTGAGTCTCAGAAACTGCCTAACTGTCTCATTTAATAATAACCCTTTGAGGAATGGATTCTTTCTATCCCTTCTTTAAACTGAGGAAATTGAGAGTTAGAAAAATTTGCTAACACATCAAATTTAAGTTACTATGTGAGACAAAATAGTGTAGACTCATTTCTCCCTGCTACTCTTCCATAGACCCTATAAATAGTGTGAGAAACAATCAAGAAGAATTCTGAAGAGCATAAATAGGAAGTCAGCCAGCTCGTTATTCAAGAACCACAGAATGGATATCTTGTGGCACCCAATAGAAGAAGGCTACTCAGGCCAAGTATTTCTCCATCCTAACTTTACAATAAAGATGACTGCGATAGGATTATTCCTCCCTTAGATTGAACAAGAGTCCCATGGACAATAACAGATGATCCTAACAACCCAGAAAATGTGACCCACTAAACACTAGTTAGAATAAGCAGATGGGAGAAACACGTACAGCACTGGAAAGTGAGATCTTACCATAAGCCCTAAATGCTAAACTTAAATTAGATCAATGCCTGCTAAATAAGATTTATTGGGACTGTCAATATTAAGGGACAAAGTGTTCAGATATCATCTAAAATAGCTTGCCATACCAAGAACAGGAAAATCACAACTTTAATGAGAAAAGACAACTGAAATGGATGAATCACATGTCAAAATTACTTTACAAGAATTTTTAAGTAATCATAATAAAAATATTGCAGCCAACAATTATGAATTCTTTCACACAACAAAAACCTCATCTAAAAATATCATTTTTTTAAAAAAGGAAAATTACAATACAAAATAAAAACTGACTTGATACCCTTACCAGTAGAGTGGAGATAACAGAGGGAAAAAAAATCAGTAAATTCAAAACAGAGCAATAAACTTCTGTCAATTAAATATGAAAAACAGAAAGCAAACTGAAAAACCAAGTGAATGCAGTATCAGGGACCTTTGAGAGAGTAACAAATGATCCAACACTCGTATCATTAGAATCCCAGAAAAAGAAAAAGAGTTGTGGCTGAAAGGGTATTTAAACAAATGATGGATGAAAGCTTCCAAATGTTAAGACATATCCCTACAGATTCAAGAAAGTGAGCAAATCTCAAACAGGATAAACTTACAGAAATCCATGTTGAAACACATCATAACTAAACTTCTAAAATCTACAAACAAAGAAAAAAATCCTGAACAGAAAGAAATGACACATTCCCATAAGAGAACACCAGTCTTACTAAGATTGGATTCTCATTTGAAACCACAGAAACCCAAAAGAAGTGGTATTCTTCAAGCATTGGGTGGGGAAGAACAACTGAGCCTGAAATCTACCTAAGGTGAAACTCTCCTTCACAAATTGAAGTGGAAAAGCATCTTAGAAAAGAAGCAAAAGAGTCTGTCATTAGCAGGCCTTCCCCTAGAGAATGGGTAAGGAAATTTTTAATACAGAAAAGAAATGGTAAGAATCCCAGCAGCATCAAGAAAGAACAACAAACAGAAATATGAGTACACACAATAAACTATCCTTGCCCTTGTGAAGAAATCATATTTGATAATGTAAACAAAAATGGTATCATATGATACTCAAGACAACAATATTTAGAAGTAGGGAATACAAATGAAAGCAAGGTTTCCACATTTCACTTGAGGTGGTAAAATGCTGGTGCCAGTAGTTTATGATAAGTCACAAACATGTATTTTAACACTCAGAGCACAGCTAAGAAAACTATACAAAGAAATACAAAAGTTATTTATCCTCTTATGTCTCATGACCTACCAAATAGCTGGGATCACAGGTGTTCACCACCATGGTCGGCTTGTTTTCTTGAGATGGGAGTCTCTAAATTTTTTGCTCAGGTTGGCCTCAAGCTGCCATTCTCCCAATCTCCACTTCCCAAGTAACTGGGATAAAAGGTGTGAACCACTGCACCAACCTTATCAATGAGTATACTCTTAAGTGCTAGCCTGGTGTTTCTCCAAGCTTATTCACTTCAGTAGCACTTAAACAATACATAATGATCTGGTAGTTTCAAGTGAAAAATTAAGGAAATAATTTTGTTCACATACAAGAATACACTTGAATTGTAAGGTTAACTATGATTCTCATTTTTATGAAACTATTATATTGTGAACTTGAAAATGTGTGTATACTATAAAGAAACAGTGGTCTCAATAAATATATAAGATACCAAAATATAGGTCACCTAAGAAGAAAGTACTTCCTTATTTGAATGTTGTTTTTTAATAAATCGCTTAAATAACACACAAAATTACACATGCTGATGGGTACTATGTGATGCTTTGACATATGTGACATACATTCAAGTATGTTCAATAATGTTGCATAAAATATGAATATGATGGAGAAAGGAAGATGTAAAAACTAAATGGAATGCCTAGAAATGAAAAATAAACTATCTAAAGTGAAAATACATTGAATGGAATTAACAGAAGATAAGATAGAAGAAAAGAACAGTGAAGTTAAGAGACAGAAATAGAAACAATCTAAAATGAAACACACAAACAAAAAAAGCCAAAAAACAAAAAACAGAGTATTAAGGACAACACCAAGTCTAATCTAGTGTGATAAGAGTTCTACATATGTAGTCATGGTAGAGTGGACAGAAATAATGTTTGAGGAAGTAATTTCCCAAATTTAGTGAAATCTGTAATTCCACAAAACCAAAAGTTCAAATGTGATATAAACAAGTTTGAGAAAACATAGAGTAACACCACCAGAGAAAATCCTGACCTGATGAAGGGTAACAAGAACAGAACAATGATAAGAATGACTTTTCATCAAAAATCATGCAAATCAGAGGACAACAGAGTCACAGTTTTAAACTGCTAACATTGAGGGATATAATGTCAACCTAAAATTCTATAGCAAAAGCAAAAATAACTATCAAAACAATTGTATACCAAAAAAAAAAAAAACTGCAATGAAGAAGAACAATAGACATGGCAAATATCTGAGTAAATAAACTATTTTCTTCTTCACATCTTTAAAATACATTTGATAGCAACAATAACATGGCCTTACAGCATTTTTGATGCATGAAGATGTAATATGTAAGGAACTACAATATGCATAGTGTGATAAGGCTGCTGCACTCCAATCAAGGTGGCAAAACATTGATACAAAGTAGAATGTAAAAAGTTAACCATGTACTTTGAAATCCATACGGGAGTAACTTTAAAAAAATTACAGAGGTAACAGTCAAAATCATATTATAAGATTAAAATGGAATGCTAAAATATTTCAAATAACCCAAAGAACATGAGGAAGGGGAAATAGAGGAATGAAAAACAGAGAAATTTAATAACATAACCTCAATTTAAATATATAAGTAATTACAGGAGAAGCTAATAATGAAAAAATTAAATCTTATAAACTCTTCAAACAATCTAAAAGAGAAAGAAGCAGATAAGACAACTGGAGGACAAAAATCAAAATTTTATGGTTAAACTCAAGCATATTGATAATTACATTAAATGTAGATGGTCTAAATATACCAATTAGGTAGCAACATCTGTCAGATGGAAAAACAAGCCAAATCCACCTGTCTGCTTTTGGGGAGACACACAGACAAAAACATATGAAATTATAAAATTCACTGTTAAAACTAGGGGCATAGTCAAATTAAAAATATTCTAATAAAGTAGTGATATATAAACATATAGCTGTAGTATAAATGTTAAAAGACAAAAACTATTAAAAACAATAATAGCTACAATAATTTGTTAAGGGGTATACAATATAAAGATAAAAATTGTGACATCAAAGACATAAAATGTATGGATGGTGAATGAAGTAAAAGTGCAGAGTTATTTTATGTGATCAAAGTTAAGGAAAGGAAGGGAAAATAAAAATATATTAAAAGGATATAACAAAATAATAAAATGGACAAGCATTTATACAAAAAA